TTTCCTAAGAGTATCATTCCTGAGGTGTGAGACCATTTGAAAGAAGGAGAATGAATACAACCAGATGAGCTATACTAAAAACGGATTTCTCCCCAAGCATTAGTTCCCAGATTAAGATTCATGTGACAGGAAACATTTGGGAAGGTTTCATTCTCAATAGTGTGACTCATTCATTTCTATTCCTGAAACTATAAACAGAATCCATTGCCCTATGTCCCTATGAACTCTTATGACCTTTCTCAAAGATTCAGGTCATTTTTTATTTAGAAAAACTATGGCTTTCAGTATCTTTCCCAAATTAAACTACAAATAATGATAGATAATTTACACCAAACTAACCATCATACACACACACAAACACACTTAGATGAGAGAATTACTGAAAACATGTTTACAAGAAAATTTTTTGATTGGACATGAATATTTAATCCATTCTTTTGCCTCTGAGTGGGACTGAACCAAATGGTCCCCTCTATGATAAGTCTGTTTTTCTTTCTTAGATATTTGTGACTTATTTTGCCATATTTGATTTAATGATCAGACATTAATTCTTCTTAGTGTCTTGTTACGTGTGTTTTATCTGAATTCCCCATCATCCAATTTATTTTGCCACTGAAAACATTATAAATATTTTCTCAGTATTCTTCTCACAGATGCTTTTACCTCTTTGTTTTTCAGGCTGTAGATGAGGGGATTCAGCATGGGAGTGATCACACTATACTGCACAGAGGAGACCAACTCCAGGGGTGAGCCTGAGGTTGTTATGAAATAGCAAAGAACAGCTGACCCATAGAACAAGATCACTGCAGTGAGGTGGGAGGAGCAGGTGGAGAAGGCTTTGCTTCTGCCAGAGGTGGAGGTGATGCTAAGGATGGTGGAGATAATGCAGACATAGGAGAAAAATATTAAAAGGGAAGTTACAAGTGCATGTGGAACAATGGAGCAGAGCATGACAATGAAGTTGGTGGAAACATCAGAGCAAGACAGAGTAAAGATAGAGGGTAACTCACAGCTATAGTGTGGGATGATATAGGTATCACAGAAGTCCATTTTCACTGCCAGAAGGACATTGATGAATGCGTCCAGAAAACCCAAACTCCATGAGCCCCACAAAAGCTGCATGCACCGCTTTTTACTCATCACCTGGCCATAGAGCAGAGGGTGGCAGATGGCAGCATAGCGGTCATAGGCCATTGCTGAGAGCAGAAAGCCATCAGTCCCTGCTGTGATAAGCACAAAGAATATCTGAGCCAGGCAGCCCCTTACCGAGATGGTTTTATTCTGAGACAGTAGGTTCTCTAACAATTTGGGCACAGTGACTGAAGAGAAGCAGAGATCAATCAAAGAGAGTTGACTCAAGAAGAAGTACATGGGTGTGTGGAGGTGAGAATCAACCCTGATGACCAGCAGCATCATCAGGTTCCCCGTCACAGTCAGGAAGTAAATACCCAGGAAGAGCACGAAGAATAGAGCCTCAATCTTGGGGTCAGCAGACAGCCCAAGGAGAATGAACTCAGTGATGGTACTGTGGTTCCTCAAGGCCATTTACAGTTCTATCCTAAAAATTATAGAGAAAAACATGAGTGAATTTTCTATTGTCCTCCAACCAATTTTCACCTCACACTGATTCTCGTTTTATATTAAAATCATCTTAAAAATTAGAACCAGGTTTGGGAACATAAAAATGAATAAGATAGGAGGACTATACTTTAAAAATCATAAAAAGTTCAAAGAAGAACACAAAAAAATAAAAACAAGCAATTAAATCAAAATGTGATTAACTGTAATGGAAGCTTCAGTGTGATTTAGAACAAGTCAGCAATATCAGCACATTGAAGGTAGTCTAGCAAAAATTTTAAATGTCAGTTAGGAGCTCTGGTGATGTAGTGCCTAAGACACTTGACTGCTAATCAGAAAGCTGGTGGTTCAAACCCAACAGCCACTCCTTGGAAGGAAGATGGGGCAATCTACTTCCAAAGTGATACAGCCTCGGAAACCCAAGGAGGGGCCCCTATGAGTCAGGTCCAACTCGATGGCACTTAACAACATGATGAGTGAAAGGATTCAAGGAAAAGAAGAACATTTGAGCTGAGACACCAGTCTAGTCAATGGATCAGGACTAAGAAATACTAAAGCATGTTTGATAAAACATGAGTATTTCTTAATAGCTGGAGCCAATACAGGGATAGACAATGTGGTTCAGTGATGTAGGTTCTTGAGTCTTATTTCCATTCTGAAAATTGGAATATTGTATAATTATGAGAATTAAATGTAATAACATATATAAAGTACATTTTAAAAACCCATACATATTGTCCTGTGTAAATTATCATCATTATTATCATTATTTGACACCATAATTACAGCCTAAGAAAAATAATAACTCTTCAGGCAGTATAATCCCCTATCAGAGTTAGAACTGTTCTTGCCACTATTACTGCTGCTTTTTATGAAAAAGCATGTAACAAAGTCATTTTAAACTCACTGAAGTTGGTTGCTATCCTTCTCCACCCTCCCCCACTGAAGTTAGGCATTTGGAATCACAATATATACTTCTTTTCAAAAGGACTACATTCCTGTATGTTACTGAATGCAATGTCACTCAGGAGGAAAAGGCAGCCAATCTCAAGGGAAAGAGAAGATGGATCTGCTAACCCTGTCCTGAAATCATTTTCTGGAATGGCTGTGTACCTTGTGAAGGGCCAGGCCTATAGGCAAATAACCAACCCACTAACCAACCAAACACTGCGGTTGAGTCAGATCCAACTCATAGCAACCCCTCCTTGGGTTTCTGAGGTGATATCACTACGGAAGTAGATTGCCCAACCTTCCCTCTGAGGAGTGGCTGCTGGGTTTGAACCGCCAGCCCTCTGGTTAGCAGTCAAATGCCTTAGGCACTACACCAGCAGAGCTCCCTAGGCAAATAAAGAGGAGGGGATATGAGGTAGTAGTATACCAGTGCCCATGACATGAACCACTCACCCAGGCAGAGTAAGAAAGAGGGAAAGGAGGAGTAGCATTATAAGAACTGTCTTCCTAGAACTTGAAAAGCTTGCCAGAATGCCTAAATTATTATGGAATCGCCAACAGCTGCTGCTTCCTACCTCCTCAAATAATTCCTTTTAGAAGGATCAGCACAAGGTTGGTCCCTATGAGGCAGAGGTTAAAGATTTCTCAAATGTCCAACTTTTCCAAACTGCTATGCTACTCCATGATCTCTAGCATCAGCTCCTCTTTCTCCCCTCAGTACTCTTCTTCCTTGTTGTTGTTATGTGCTGTCCAGTCGGCCCTGACTCACAGCGACCCCTCCTTGGGCTTCCAAGGCAGTATCACTACGGAAGTAGGATTGCCCAACCTTCCTTCCGAGGAGTGGCTGGTGGGTTTGAACCACCAGCCGTCTGGTTAGCAGGCAAGTCATTTAGCCACTATGCTACCAGAGTCTCCTTCCTTAGGGTTCTGTATTTCGCTATAACATCTTACATAACTCACGAACTGGAGGAAACAGCTCAAGTGGTGGTGGAGGATGGGAGGCTGGCAAGTTCTAAGACCAAGGGTTGTTGTTGTTGTTGTTGTTATGTGCCATCCAGTCGGCTCCGACTCATAGCGACCCCTCCCCTTGGGTTTTCGAGGCAGTATCACTACGGAAGTAGATTGCCCGACCTTCTTTCCGAGGAGTGACTGGTAGGTTTGAACCGCCAGCTTTCTGGTTAGCAATCAAATGCCTTAGGCACTACGCTACCAGACCAAGGGTAGGTCTGGAGAATTCTCCCCACTCGCATGGTTGTTGGGGCTGGCGAACAGCTATTGTCTCAAGTCCAGGGCTAAAATGATGATGAATCAAATGCAGGACTAGAGCAAGAGAGAGACCTTTCCCAGAACATTCACATAAATACCCTCAAGGAAACTAAGGGTGGTGACTTGAGTCACACCCTCCAGCGATGCAGAACTCAAGATACATCCCACCCTAAGCAGGGATGTTGTTGTTGTTAAGTGTCCTCGAGTCTAAGAAGCTATTTTAAAATAGAAGAATAGAATCTTCAGTCCTGTATATTTCAGTTGAGCAGATATTTTAACTAACTTTCACATTCATCTGAGACTCTTTCCTTAATATTCAAGCACTGGACTATTCATGTCTTTTGACTTTGTTTTGCCAGAACTTCCAGGTATGGTTTATAAAATGCCTTGCCTATTTCAACACTGAATGTTAGCCATCAGTTTCAGCTGTGATCTGCTCTGCTAGAATCACCTTTTTGTCACCTGTAGGAAACAGCATGGTAACCTGGTCTATTTCCTAGTCCTGGCCTTTCTTTTGCTGCTTTATTCCAAAAAAGTGCAAAACCCAGCTAAGGGGAACTTTGAGTTCTTACTTTTCAACTGTTCACCCACCAACATGTACATATTCCATTCCCATAACACCAATACATTTACCTGTCCATCTTCTCCAAAGACAATCTGCTTCCTGATGTGGCTTCAGGGCCTTGTATTTGATTCAATTACTAAGAATAAAAATTATAGAGAATGTATTTTCTATTCCTGGGTTTATAATTGTGGCTATAAAATTCTATTGATAATGAATTGTTTTCGTGAATTCTTCATTACTCAAGTGAAATGACCACATGATATTTCTGTTTTTCAGATGGTCTCAAACACAATCACCCTGGCGTCTCTTCATTTGTTCTTCTGCTTTTCTTATTCCTGCCATATATAGGCTAATATGGTTTAACTAACTTTTAGAACAGGTCTGTTTAGGAAGCATGTGAGTTGACTCATAGGCATCAGTAGCCCAGTGGGATTGATGAGGCAGTCCTAGTTATTCCCTGTTGTCACAACTTGAAGTTAGACACTGTAGTAAAGAATTAAGCAATTTTATAAATATCAATAGGATACTTGTAAGTGTGGTCTTTGGAACTTCTGGGTTGAAGGAATGACTAGAAAAATCAAATATGAAGTCTTTATTAAAAAAAAAAAAAAGTTCATAGGAGACAGAGAAAGCAATGAGTTTTTAATTGTTCTTCTTGTAAGAAATAAATATTTTCCAGTTGACACTCTTGTGTTTTCTCCCAGACAACTACACCCAGGTAAAGGTGCTGTGTATATGTGAGTTTATGTCTGAATGACTAAATAATAACAAATTCAATGGAAAGAAATCCAATAACCAGTCATTTGCTTAAACCAAGCAAACAATTCTTTCTGGTATGATGAATCAACATATATTTCAAGTTACACAATAGCTCTATCACAAATTTCATGCCTAGCAATTAACATTTATTTTAAAAAGCATTCACCTAAGGGTGTCATGTCTTGAGTCACAATGTTATTGCTGTTGCTAGATGTCACTGAGTCCCTTCTGACTCCGTGACTCTATGTACAACAGAATGAAACACTGCCTGATCCTGTGCCAACCTCACAACTGTTGCTGTATTTGAGCCCATTGTTGCAGCCACTGTGTTAATCTGTCTCATTGAGAATCTTCCTCTTGTTTGCTGGTCCCTCCCTACTTTACCAAGCATGATATTCTTCTCCAGGACTTGTGCCTCATGATAACATATTCAAAGTAAATGAGATGTAGTCTCACCATCCTTGCTTCTAAGGAGCATTCTGGCTGTACTTCTTCCAAGACAAATTTATTCATTCTTTTGGTAGTCCATGGTATATTCAATATTCTTTGCTAATGCCATCATTTAAATGAATCAATTCTTCTTCAGTCTTCATTATCCACTGTCCAATTTTTGCATGCATATAAAATGCTTGAAGATATCACAGCTTGGATCAGATTCATCTTAGTCCTTAAAGTAACATTTTGCTGTTTAACACTTGAAAGAGGTCTTTTGCAGCAGATTTGCACACAATGAAATACAATAGTTCAGCCTAAATAGTAAAGAATGTCTGCCTTGAGCAATGTGCTCTTTTAAGATCTATCAGTATGGGATCAAATTGTCGTCAGCAACTCCAAAGATTAGTTAGGAAACTAATTGAGTTTATATTATTTACTAGAAAGGAAGTACTCAGAAAAGGATGTTGAGAGTGATTGTATGACACCAAGAATGTAGTCATTGCACTGAATTTTACATTTAGAAATTGTTGTTGGTCTATATTTTGCTATGTACACTCTCAACAACAAAAAATATGTTTGAAAAAGAAAAAGAAGATATTGAGGAAAGAAATACAAAGTAGCCTTATGTAAGCAGGATATCTACCTACTAGGGGGATTACCTAAATGTGAACTTATTGGGTAGCAGGAGTCAGAGATAGACAAAGAAGGAGCTGAAGAAATAGAAAGTGAGGAAGACCGTGGAAATCAAATGCTTACCATAGAATCCTGGTTTCCATTTACAAGCTGTAGTAGACAGCATTTTAAGAGGGGCCTCCACAAATGGACACTATCATTAACAGCATTGTACTTCAAGATAGATAGTAATACATTCTTTGTAATTATGAATGCCACGCTATTCTTCTTCAATTTCTCATTCCCAGCATAGTAGAACATATGATTATCTGCTTCAAAATGGCCAAAACCAGTCCATTTCATCTCACTAATGCCTAGG